AAAAACCCTTCATTTTTTGGACCTGCATATTTAGCTGTTTTGGAAGGCAGTTTCCTTCTTGAGTTTCAAATACAGGACTGCTACAGTCAAATCACAATATTCCGTGGTAAAATCTTGTTTGTTACTGTCATTCCCATTCTTTTCGTTTAGAACCAGAATAAAGTTGTATTTCAAATATCTAAGCAAGTGAATTTAACCCTTGTTTAAAGATTTTAAAACCACTGCAAAGGAACTTTGTGCTGGGTTGCTATTTTAAATGTTTTTGTTACCACCTATTTAGAAAACTGTTTGGTTAATTACTATCTACTTTTAACACGTGTGTGTGTGTGTGTGTGTGTCCGTGTCCATCATCACACAAACTGGCTGGCTGTGACAAAGGATTTGATTCAAAATGAAGTATAAATATTGTCAGTGCAGTTAAGCTAACGGCCGGACACATTTATTTTGGCAAAGTGATCACCAATTGAAATGTGGGAAGTTGTCTTTGAAGAAGAGGGTGGTTTGGCTAAATAATAGAAAGTTAAGGGTTATGGTTCCCTTGATGGCAGAGGTGGCCCTATTTTAATGTAGATGCAGACCATAGTTAATAGCAAGGTCTTAATCTGATAAAATGAGTGTGTTGTATAGATAATGATACTTGGTTTAATGTTAAATGCTTGATTAAAAGGTTATTATCAGGGAAGTTTTCTTATTGAGTCTTTAAAGATGTCTGAAAGTGAGAATTTGAGCTGAATATAGGCATTCTAGCCTTTGATAATTTTTTTCTTCTCCCAGTGTAATTTTTTTTTTTTTTGCAATGGACACAGACAAAATTAGAGACTAAATTTCTAGCAGTTTAAACAAGGAACCTCTGGTATGTACATTAAATAAGACTTGGGTCTGTCTTGTTTAAAGAGAATGACCCTTGTGTACTAATTGAGGGACTTGCGAACCCTCAAGAGCAAGTCCATTTTACTCCCCTCAGAGAGAAACCAGCTCAAGGCTGACTCTCCAGTGTGTATTTAGAGGCTTAAAATCACACAGGAGGAGATGGTAGCTAGTGAATTCAAACCTGCCCACTTTGGGTCTGATAGCAATAACATTTTACACACAGATCACCAGAGATCCTTCCAGTTAGTTACAGATTGATTTCCTGATTTAAAAGATGATAGGCAGGAAATCACTTAAGATATAAGGAAAAGTGAAATGAATATGGTGAAGAAACAAGCAAACATGAGTAAACTCTTAAAGAGATCTGAGCTGTAGGTGTTCAGGACCTGATTTTTAAAGCCATTGTGATGTGAAAAACTTCACCTCATCAAAAAACCATTTGTTTAGACCCTTTGGATCTGCACATGGATGGTAGGTGTGACCTCACAGAGCATGTAGACACAGCATTCAACATTCTGATGATGGGACAGCAGCCACTTCACTCAGCTGAGGGCCAGGGGCTCCACAGGGAAATGCTGCTACTGTCTGCAATTTCTCAGTCTTTGCTGGTATTTGAATACAGGAAACAGTGACCAGTCAGCCACAATTATCTTTTGGGACGTATATTTCCATCCAGTTTACATAAATGGAGAAAGTTCACTCTCAGTTTGAGGGTCTGGTACTGAGGTGGGGGGAAACTTTAGGCTTCTTTCAAACTGCAGATAGTAAATTATTATAGCTAAAAGCCAAGAGCATAACATACTTCATAGGTTAGCTCACTGTTGCAATCCAGACTAAAAGTTGAAGCTTCATTGCATTTCCAAGGTTATAAACCAAAACGAGAGGAGACTGCCCATCTTTCCCATCAATTCCAGCCACAGCTGCGGGTTATATTAGGGTTCGAATACCTTTGAAAGAGTGTTGCAGTTTTTTTTGGTTTGCCATACAAATTTAGCTGGAAGTTACAAAGGAGATACTTGGTTTTGTGTTAACATGGTGTAAGATGAAGTGGAAATTTTGAAGGGTTTGGGGTTTTTTGTTTGTTTGTTTGTTTTGTGGTTTTTTTTTGCTTAATCTTAGAGAATGGGTTCTAGATCATAATGCTAAATGAAAAGTCTAGGACAGAGTAGAGATTTCCAAAAATACGTTAAACTCAGAGGACTTATCCTGGCTGCAATAACTTGGGTTACTGATTTCTTTTGTCAAACTGTCCTAGGGATGAGATCTAGTACAATCCTGGGGCTTCAGGTGTCTTGCTTAACACAGATGACTTGACAATCTTAAGTCTCTAGGGAGTTTGGAAGAATACCAAATGTGTCAAGCAGGCAGTGTCCTAGATATGTGACAGTCTTAATGTCAGTTCTCCAGCATCTCACCGAGTTCAAAGTCATTTTGGCAGAGAAATGAGCCTGGCTACAGTCAATAAGCAGATCCAAACTTGCCTACTCTCCCAGGTGGAACTTCTGTCTAGACCTGGGTGCCAAGTTTGCTTGGACACCCTCACGCACCCACACTATGTAGAAGTTAATTCCCTCCGTAAGTCAACTACACCATTTTCATGCTTTGTGTCCTTCAGATCTCACCTGAACTGAGGCCAGTTTCCCTCCTCTGAGGTCACTGGATCACAGTGGCTCACTCAGAATAGCAGTGTCATAATTTGTGTCTTGCTAGTTATATTGCTGTTTGCATTATCACTCAATGTCTCCAGGAATTATTAGCTTCTTGATGGGAACCTTGAGAAGGAGGAAACTGAGGAAGTAAAGCCAGAGATAGATGAGACGAGACGGAAATAGTTTCTTAAACTGGAAGAGCTCTGCTGCTATCGGCCTCAGCTTGGGAGCAGGAGAGAGTATCTTGGTAGAAGATTTAACCCACTGGCTTCTAACTCCTTTCGGTCAATGCGGAGTCTCTCATGCCTTAGAAGTTCAGATGTTGAAAGAGGAACCTTTAATTGGTGTTCACTTCTCTGTTTTGAGAGCAAACCACAAACCTTCCTGTGGAACTTGTTCTTTGGTGTGGACAGTCCATGTGTGTATTCTATGTGTGGCTGTGAGCTCAAGGATGTCAACAGGTGGCTGTGGAAGTGATGAATAGGATGGAAAAGTATCTGCTGCTTGGGTTGTGTGGTGGTAATCTGCTGGATTAGAGAAGGAAGGAGGGCAGTCCAGGATGGTGGGTTTAGATGAGGCAGAGGCCAGTAGAAGACGGGACAAGGGAGCAGATGAGTGTGAAAGTCCTGAGGTGGAGAAGTGGATGGAGCTCCTTATTCAACAGGTTTTTCTTAAGGAGCACTGGTCAGTAGAATGACTGGACTTCGGTTAACAGAACCAACAGCTAATGCACTACACCACCAGACTTCCTCCCATAAAGACTGCAACCTCAGAAGCCCTGCAGGACAGTTCTCTGAACTAGTGGATCAGTAGGAGTTGGGATCCACTCAACAAATGAGTTTCATTTTAGATGTTTCGGCAGCATTGAAGGGCTGAGGTTAGGGTGGGCAGGTGGGGTGTTGGGGAGCTCCTGTCCTTTCTTGACAGGAAGTTGACACAGACATGGCAGCAGCACCTCAGATTCTCTACCTGTCTATGTACTGTCAAATTGAATCCAACTGGCACAGGAGGAGATTGCCCTTCTAGAGGAGCATCTGGTGGCTTTGAACCATGCACCTTCAGGATTACACCATGGCTTCCTGCCACTGGGCCACCAGAGCTCCACAGCTCAGATTCCAGAGTTTATGACCCACTGTGAAAACCCGATTTGCATCTTAGATGAGATGGGTAGTGCCCTGTGACTAGGGCTGGCATTAGATGGGCAGGTTTTGAGCCAGATTGTCTATTAAGACCACTTCAGTAGGGGAGAAAAAAATTAACCACCCCACTTAGTTTATAGCTATAAATCTATTAATTAGTTAAGGTGGCCATGTGAGTTGTGAATGTCCCTCCAAACATGAAAGAGGTCAGACTGTTGGAAGACTGCCTTATGGGCTGGTCAGGTACCAGACCAAGGGCAAGCTTGGGGGACTGCCTTTGTTAACATCTGGTAATGCTGTAATAAATACCAGTGGATGGCTTGAGCAGAAAGTAACAACGCTCTACTGTTAACACTTGTTATGTACCATTGAGCCAGTTCTGTCTCACATTTCACATATAGCAGACAAAATCCTGCCCCATCCTCACTGCATTAAGCGCATTGTTTTAATTGCCATGTCAGCCTGTCTCATTGAAGATCTTCCTTTGACCCTTTACCTTCCCTAGCGTGATGTCCTTTTTCAGGGACTGACCCTGATAACATGCCCGAGGTACATGAGACGAAGGCTCACCTTCATGTAAGGAAGACTGGCCTTGAAGACTTTTGGGAGCCCATAGTATAATCAATATTCTTATGCTGTGGCTGGAGTCAGACATGCCTTGTCTATCAGACAGGGGAGTAGAACCAGGGGACCTGGCTACACAGTAGAAGCTCACCATCCCATAAGTAATACCTCTTAAATCTCCTATCTTTATAATAAAAAAAGCTTCTGTACAGTGAGTCATGGGCTAGCATTGCTTTGTCCTGCCATATGTGCCTTTGTAGTTTTATGTTGCAAAGTATTTTTCCTTAAAAGAAGCATGGACTCCTGTTCACTGTTACTTAGCAGGAGGTGGTGGTTGGACGCCATCAAGTCAACATAGCCTGTGAACAGCAGGTCTGAGCCTTGTCCTGTCCTGGGCCACCCTCATGATCTTTGTCCTGCTCAAGCCTATTGTGTCAGTGTGTCCATCCACTTCTTTTAGGTCTTCCTCTTTCACTGACCCTTCATGATTTCTCTCCAAGGACTGATTTCCTCTTAAAAATACGAAAATAAGTCAGGTGATGTTACACTGTCCTCTAAGGAACACTCTGGTTACACTTTAAGATAGTGTTTATTCTAACCTTAACAGGAGAAAGAGCCCACATTTAAAGATCACTTGAGACATTTTTTTTGGTGACCACATTTAAGAGGTACTCCAGC